TTATGTGGTGTCAGATGGTTTTGTGTGGTATAATGTGGTGTCAGGTTTTGTGTGGTATGTGGTGTCAGATGGTTTTGTGTGGTAAAATGTGGTGTCAGATGGTTTTGTGTGGTATGTGGTGTCAGATGGTTTTGTGTGGTATGTGGTGTCAGATGGTTTTGTGTGGTATGTGGTGTCAGATGGTTTTGTGTGGTATGTGGTGTCAGATGGTTTTGTGTGGTATGTGGTGTCAGATGGTTTTGTGTGGTATGTGGTGTCAGATGGTTTTGTGTGGTATGTGGTGTCAGATGGTTTTGTGTGGTACGTGGTATCAGATGGTTGTGTGTGGTATATGGTGTCAGGTGGTTTTGTGTGGTATGTGGTGTCAGATGGTTTTGTGTGGTACGTGGTGTCAGATGGTTTTGTGTGGTACGTGGTATCAGATGGTTGTGTGTGGTATATGGTGTCAGATGGTTTTGTGTGGTATGAATTGGTGTTGAATAGTGTTGTGCGGCGTAATCTCTGGAGCAGACTAACCCCATCCCGAGTGAATCTATATCTCCCCACCTCTTGATCCCAACTTCCTTTCCTTCCCCGCTTCTCTTCGCCCCACAATCCCCACTTCTCCCCTTCGTTACATATCTCCCCCAATCATCACCTCTTCCCCACTTTTCCCCCCACCGATCTTACCCACACCCCAACCCCCACACCTTTCCCCACTTCTCTCCCTTCCTACCCATCTCCCCTACCCTTACCTCTCCTCCCCCCCTCTTTCCCCACTTCTAACCCACACCCCATTACTCCCCCCCCACTTTTCCACCATTTCCCCCTCTTCCCCCCACACATCCCCCACCATTTCCCCCCTCTCCCCCCCACACATCCCCCACCATTTTCCCCCACCATTTCCCCCCTCTCCCCCCACACATCCCCCAACATTCCCCCCCACACATCCCCCACCATTTCCCCCCATCTCCCCCCACACATCCCCCACCCACCCCCCACCATTTTCCCCCACACATCCCCCACCATTCCCCCCCTCTCCCCCTACACATCCCCCACCCACCCCCTCCCACCAACCCCAGACAACGCACAGTCGCCCAGAATCACACGCACCAATTGGTCTAATCAAACTAATGTATGAATTAATCACAAAGTCAGGGAGTGGGTGTTTGGCTCCCCTAAAAAAAAAAAAATAAATAAATAGATAAAAAAATCCAAGGAACGGACGCAGAAGGTGGCGGGGGAGAGGGAGGGGGGTGAAGCTCTAATGGGGGGAGGGGGGAGTGAATTCTGACGGTGGTTAGGAAATACATACAGACAAACACAAATATGGGCATAGGCATAGATGTAGATATACACAGCCACACACAGCCACACAAACACACACGCACACACACACACACACACACACACACACACACACACACACACACACACACACACACACACACACACACACACACACACACACACACACACACGTATTTATGTGTTTCTTTGTTTATTTCTTGTGTGCCACTGAATGTTTTCAGATGTAGTGTTTGTTTAATATATCACGATGTTGTGTGTAGTAATATGTCACATTAATAATTTAGCTATATCTAGTAAATGATGTAGAAACGACTTATTTTTAATCATTGAGGCAAACTGAATTTCAATATACAATTTATCCTTGAATAATATTTTTACAAGTAATTACTATTCAGTCATGATGTACTTAATAATAAACTACAAATGTTATCTTTTTTTCTGATGTAAATTACAGGTATATTTTTCGTTTCAATGACTTCCGTTGCTTTTCGATCTAATAATTGTATGTAAAATCCTTATGTTGCAATTTTTTACTTCACTGCATATGCATGAATCTGAGTATTAGTAGATCCTCCCTGCACTAACCATTGCTAAACCCTATAAGGTGTTATTACCTTCATAAACTTCAAACAACAAAAGAAACGTATTTAGAACAAGATAATGCACATGTAAAACTATTTTTGATAATTCCCGTCATTATTCATACCTTTAGACATGGTCCTATGATAACTGTGTAAAAATATAAAGCACCCATGTATAAAATTACCATCGATCTTAACACATACTTACACAACTTAAAGCATATCCTTAAGACAGACCAACATAACAGCAACATAAGAAGTGTATCATCATCGAGCAATATGCACACCAACATTGCAATATGAATTACTTTCAAAGAGTAATCTAATCGCATCGGTTCTATCAAAACTCAATCAGTTTTATCAAGGAAACAGGAATAATCAACCATTACATTATCGTAATTGTACAGCACACTGATGTAGCACAACATTTTAAAACTTTATTTTCGGTAGAATGATCAAAGCTGTTGTATTATCATTATTATTTTGTACACTGGTACAGGGCAATAGATTAAAAGCCTTGTCCTCTTATATGACAAATACATGGGTACAAATTGGTTGTTACATTGATTAAACAGGCTATGAACCGTATTCATGTTGGCAAATGTAAAAAAGGTATGAATGAGAAACCG